TAAGGAATCCGCCAAAGACACATGGCTAATTAAAAGGACAGGGGCAGGATGCAAGCGCTGCACAGACAGGCTTCCAAAGACACTGGCAGGCCTGTTCCCCTGGGTTCACAATCGAAAAGCAAAGCCCTTAGGAAGCTTATTACTTAGAAATGAGCACGGGATAACTATCAACTATGGCTTTGACAAATCTTGTTACAACCTATCTTAAATTGCTCTTAAATGCTTTCCTCTCTCCATGTGATTAAGGGAAATATGGTAAACTTAATTACACCTTTCTTAACTGATTTCATATCTGCAGAGTTTTCCCAATAACTGAATTGGCCTTTTATGTCCTTTGCTTTGCTTACCTCTAGAACACTGTAAGAATCTGCGAGAAGTACAATGTTAAGCTCACAGCAACTGTCTACTAAAAACAGGGCGGGGATACACAATGGCGAGGGGCACTACCTGATGGACACAGTCACTTAACTTTGCTCACATATGCAAAATTCTTGTGAAGAGTTAAGCTAGTCTAGAAAAAAGTGCCTTGGCCAGGCGTGGTGGCATATGCCTATAATCCCAGCACTCAGGAGGCTGAGGCAGGAGGATTTCTGTGAGTTCAAGACCAGCCTGGGCTACATAGTGAGTTCCAGGTCAGTCTCAACTACATAGTGAGACCCTGTCTCAAAAAACAAAACAAAACAAAACAAAATAAAAAAAAGTGCCTTAGGCTGACCACAAGCCCATTTCTTCCATTCCCACTCTTGCCCCATGCAGGTTAGTGAAATGTGTTGGTGACCCCATTGGGGCCATGCACATGTGCAAACAGGCACCATCCTGCTCTCAGGCTGGTGCAGGGAAAAAAAGCAGGCCCAGGCAATTCACCACACATGTGTGTGTGATGTTTACAGAGGTCATGTATCCACATGAAAACCTCAGGAGTAGTAGTATTTCTTCCAGTGACTCTATGGATGTGACTTTTAAAATCCTTATTTATACTACTCAAGGAAAGGGACCTTATTAATAATCCATACACATGCACACTTCATATGCAATTCTTTTCAACACCAGCCTTCTTCACTAGAATGACCATTAGATCACTGTGTGGCTTGGCGGGGGGCATAGGCCCATTGTTCAATGTTTTGATGGAACAAAGCCAAAAGGATAACTTTATGAATTAGACAGATGTTCCAGTTTTGAGAGCTATCTGAATAAAACTGAAAAAACCTCCAAGTAAATGCCACTTCCGCAGAACCCACACATACCGAGTTATAAACCAACAGCAGCAGGTAAAATGAAAGTAGCAGCATCACCACTGCCACTTTGTTACTGGGGACTTGCTGTGTGACTGAAACTGTGCAAGTACTCCGCATCGATGATCTCACTTAATCCTCCAACAACGCTATGAGGTGACCTCAGTCATTATTACCACAGGATATATCCAGCCACTAAAGCTCAGACAAGCTAATAAACCTCAAGTAACACAGCTAAAGAGTGGGACCTTCAGGCGCAGGCAGTGTGATTCCAGAGTTGGTATGTTCCACCACACTCGAGGAACAGGGGATACAACTGAAAATGTCAGGAATAAAAACTAACAGAACTTCTCACTAAATTATTCTTATACTGAACTCTGAGCAGAAGAAATATTCCTAGCTTGTTAGGTACCCAGTGTGTGCTCTCTTTACCCTGGCTGCAAATTATAAAATTACTGGCCCAATTCTCCATTGAATCCCCAGTATGTAAATGAACACAATTTAGTCACTGGTTTAAGATTAGAACTGCTCGACTGGTGCAACCACTATGGAAATCAATATGGAGATACTTCAAAGAGCTTGGACTGGAGGTTCCATTTGACCCAGCCATCCCTCTGCTGGGTATCTTTCCAAAAGAACTAAAAGAATCATATCACAGAGAAGTATGCACACTCATGTTTATAGCGGCACAGTTTGTAATAGCTAAATCTTGGAAACAGCCCATTTGCCCATCCGTTGGAAACTGGATTAAGAAGATGTGGTTTTTCTATAAAATGGAATATTACTCAGCCATAAAGAACGAGAAAATAGATTCATTCATAGGAAAATGGATACATACTGAAGATATACTAAGTGAAATAAATAAGTCACACGTGTATAAATACCGAATAGTTTCCCTGGTGTGAATAATCTGCAATAATACATAAGATCCTAATAAGATGACTGACATTTAGAAATGGGAAGAAAGGAGCTAAAGGTGTAGGGAAGGTGGGATGGGTAGGGGAAGGGTAATAAGAGAAAAGAAAAAAATGTGAGATAATGAGAAGATGAAAATAAAGTGTTTGTAGATGGGGAGGGGAGGAGGGGGTGAAGGGAGGGCAGGGGTAAGGGGAAAAAATGAGAATCAAGACTTGTCATGCAGAGGTACAAGATCCCAACAATGAATGTTAACGGTACTGTATCCCTAAAATGTACCAATAAACTCAATTAAAGCTGAAAAAAAAAAAGATTAGAACTGCTCAAGGACAATGGCAAATATAGTTAGCCACTTGTTAGCCAAATATGAAAGCATTGTAGGTTTTTAAGTTCTATGTCAATTACTGATCTCTTTTTCTAAATAGGAACCAGACTTTTCCCCGACATGAAATACAGGTGAATTATAGCTCAAGGCAATGACAATCCTCATATGCATTTTTTTTTTGCAGAGAGTGAGAGTATATGATTTAAACAAGTGAAACAGAAGAAATTGAACTTTAAAAACATTTAACAGTTGTCAAAAAGTGATTATCTTTAACCACAAACCTAAATGAATGTTTAAGAGCCTAGAAGTTGTGGTTGTCTTTCAAATGTTACTATTTCTATACATCATTAAAAAGTACAGCCTAAAATGTTCAAATAGTTCAACTGTTTGTTCCTGATCACTTCTGGAACTACAATCATTTCTGGAACTAATCAATTTCTAATCTTCAGCTTCTTGGAGGTCAAGAGAAAAATGCCAACTTTCAGCCTAGAGAGCCACCCTAGCTTCTGATCACTGTGTAAGAGTACACAGTGACACTAATTTTTAAGTATACCGCCATAAATAAAGCTCATCCTCTAGTAAATTTCACACACCTCTGCTGACTTATAAATTTGAACTTGTAAGAATCACATAAAAATTAAAATTTTGTTCAAAGTTATCTGTTTTTACCAGGTGTCTAATTTACCCTAACAAAAGGCGTTATTCATTAGTATCCACACACCTGAATGCTTTATATTATAATAAAACTGCACTTATCTTGTACAATTCCTAATACAACTGTATTTGTGTTAAGATCTCCTTTTACTAAAAAGGTGCTTCACAACGTTGTTAGTCTTATGTGAGATAAAACAGACGGCTTTTCAGAGTATCTCTCTAGCACATTTCCATCAGTATCTTAATGTGACAAAATCTACTTATGCAAAACAAAAAAAAAGGAAAGAGAAAGTACTGTTATAGACTACAAGGCTTTTCTCCTAAATAATGTTAACATATTAATCATTTGTGTTAAAGTAACATTTGATAATATAATCTTGTCCAAATGTTATGTAAGTTTTCACACATCTTTTATTGTCTTTCTTGGCACTGGGAATGGAATAAGATCAATTAATATGAATTAGAGTCAGATCAACATACATATCTAAGCTTTGCATTTGCAACAAACCAAAATTTAATGCCAATTCATCTACATTCTTTTTCAATATGAGATTCCAGATATTTATCAGAGAACTGGCAAATCACCATTCTTTACCTCTGTGTGATAAAGAAGATATAATTCATGTAAGATGCCACTTATCAAAGAATTAAATTTACCCACATTATTCTTAGCATATAAAAATGAATTCTCTCCACTCCTACAAGTGGCAACTTACATAATTTTAAAAGGATATTTCATATAATTTGTAAAGCTAAAAAAAGCTGTAGAATCCTGAGTGTAATCAATTGAACCCACATCTTTATGAAAGCATTAATTATGAACAAATAAAACAATTTTAAGGTAATCAAAAAGGGACAGGAAATTTGTTCTTGATCCTTGAACTTATGAAAGTAAACTATCACATAATTAGAATCCTTTGTATAATTACATTGTAATACTGGTTTTCCTACAGGTCTGGACAAGTTGCTGGTTAACTGGATAGAATTTTGTTTATAAATAGCCAGCCAATCCCACCCGTCACATTGACTTTGGGTTCCTTATTGTCATCTAGTGCAAATAAATCTTCACTGGCTGAAATTTCTCATTGGCAAAAACTTTTAACCACTGGAAGAGGGTCAATCAAAATGAGAATACAGTCATGCACTACCTAATAGTTTCTGGTCAGCACAGGACCACACATAATCTGGTGACATTGTTCCTGCAGGACTATAACTGAGCTAAAAAGTTCCTGCTGCCTATGACTTCGTGACCATCATCACATCACATCTTTTACTCATGTTTGCACTGATGCTGATGGAAACAAATTACTCCACTTCCAGTCACATAAAAGAATAGCACATAAAATTATGTATATTATACAATATTTGATGATGATAATAAACTACTTATGTATTTACTATACTGTATTTCTTCATGTTATTTTTTGGATAACATTCCTTCTACTTATTAAAGAAAGTACTGTAAAACACTGTACCATGTTTTATGCCAGCAGTAGCCTCACATATTTCCTGCTTATTTGTGTATTTATGAATACCAAGTGTAACCAGCTATACTGTCCAGGTTTGTGTAGGTGCACTTTATGAGGTTTGCCCAGTGACTGAAGTCACCTACCAATGCATTTCTCGGAATTAAGTGACACAAAGCTGTGCATTCTCTGTATGTTCAACAAGGTGGGAGAATTCTCAATCAACACATGACACTGCACTCACTTCTGTAAATCATTTTCTCTTTGGGTGGGCTGCACCTAAACATCCTTCTTCTAACCTGAAACATGGACACTACCAGGCCTTCACAAAAAGGTTTCGTTTGAATATGAGTTCATTAACTTAAACTCCAAAGTAAATACAGTAAGAAGAAAAAGACAAAAATCTACCAACTAGGCTGCGCTGCCATCCTCTCCATGTAGTCTTTGGCCATGTCCCGGGCTTCGAGGTTCTCAGGATACAGCACACAGAACATCGCCAAGGCGCCCAGGTTGTTGCCATAGATTTCATTCCAGCGGGCACTGTAGTCCTTGGGGTCCCAGGGAGGGAGGTACTCCAAGGGGCTGGATAGCATGGTGTGCACAGCTTCTATGAGCCGGGATGCGATGTGCTCGTGTGAACTCACGGCCTGCAGCTGCAGCTCTGCCACCTCTGACCTGGAGAAGTAGAGCATGGGGTGGCTGTCGTAGTTGGCATTGGTGAAGGGAATCATGACTTCCAGGTTCTTGGCTGCAATGTAGGCTGACCCGAGGCAAAGTAAACATATGAAAAACACACTGGGAGCCCCCCGTGTGTAAGTCCTCATCGTGGCCTCAGATCTCCAAATCTCCAAGGCAGCCAAACCATCTTTGAAAGTTCCTGTAGGAGATTAAAAAAAAAAAAAAATCAAAGCATGGATGTCAGCCTCGGGACATGGCATAGGCAGAAATTTATGGCACATAGATTCCTTATTAGGAAAACAGCTCAATCTTGAAAAATAAAGCTCACAAATTTTGATTTTTTAAATACAAAAAAGTCTGAGGAAGAAACTGCCTAAAACCTGTAAGTTCCAATTTTATAGAATTAAACATGCTGTATCAGAATTGTATTCATTACAGAAAACGCAACTTCAGACTTAGGAAAACAGTGCATTTGTTCAAGTGGAGAAGAGAATGAGTCTTCCTGGTAGTTTTCTCACATATTACCATATAGAATAGTTTAGATTTTTATGGTACTTTTTTTAGATATTAATACATTAAGCCACAATAACCAAAGACTGGCAGTGACATATTGTCTGGGAATTTGAGTAAGCATTACAACATAAAATGGAAAATCCTGCATTTATTAACATTGCCTCCTCTCCCCTTGCCCTAATGTTTTACATTCTGTACCAGGGATTAGAATCAATACATCTATGAGGATGGAGGCAGACACAATATTATGAATGAGACTAAACACCCACTCTGTGTGAACAGAAGGCGGAGACAGAGAAGATAAAGACAGAGTAAACATCTGCCAAACCTGTGAGTTCGGCAAGTAGGCCCACAGTGAAGACCAGACACTGGGCTGCTGGAACTAGAAACTGACAAGCTTTCATTCAGAAACTAAAATTTCAGGATTAAAAGGCTGAAAAAACATATGTGCATTACCCTCTTATTATTTGAAACTACCGTCTACTTTTTCATTTTGCATATGGAATTTTGGTGGTCATTCAGTAAGTCAGAAATTTAAACCAAGCTCACATATTTTCTTAACTACTTGACTTTCTTACAAACCCTTTTTTCAGTCAGGCAGATTTGTGCACTGGTTAAAAGAACATCTTTCAAACCTATGAACACTGCAAAAAAACCTCAGCCTAGTCCATGTCCCACATCTGGGATAAAGCAGGCATAAAATCCCCCAGAGGAAAATCAGGGAATTCCTAAAATTCTTAAGAGGGGAAAGGTTATAGAAAGCAGACCAGAAAAAAAGACAGTTTTGTGTAAATAATGAACAGTGGTTTTCAATTATTAAAGGGAAAAGCCGATGGTGAAAAATCAGCCTCCCAAGCTTAACACAAACTATTTTTCCAAGGAAAATCTGTTTCATCATATTCAGAAGAGAAAAACTAAGAATTTAACACACGCTGAAGGTCAAGTCTTGCTCTGTCTCCAAGAGAAAGGCAACATGGCGCCTGAGGATGCTGCCTTACTCTGGTAGTCTTCTGATCTCAAACGTGTTTTAGACTGTAAGTACACTCATGCAAAAACTCAATGCAGTGGTTCTGTGAAGCATTTCAGATTCAACAGCAGAAATCCTAACAAATAAAAAGCTTAATACAGCCAAGCTAAATAAAATATATAAAACAGAAATAATGCCTAGACCCTGCTTGTATTATGTCTAGCACCCAGGCGTCAAGGCAGCCACGAGATCTTTCAGGGTCAGAGAATCAGCCAAAAGCAACAGCCTTCTGAGGTTAAGCCTGAGGAGGGGTGTGGTCTCTGGCAACACAGAAAGTGGCTGTGTCTGAAGTTACTCGGTTCCTCTAGGGGATTATTTCTTGCTACTTTCAGAGAACAATACTTCTAACACACTTTTTAAAAAAAAGCTTGCACATGTATATTAAACCCCTAATGGATACTGTCATGGATTCAATTAATAGTGCAGGGATGTAGGCAGCTAGGGTGAGGACAGTTGGAAAACTCGGTTCTCCTTGAATTGGCTCTCATGGGCCTGCAACTCAACTTCTTTCAACTGTCCCTTTCTTTAAGCGGGAAGAGTACTTGACGTACCAGGGAATAGTAAAGACATGCAGAGACCAGAATTCTTCCACCTCAGATTCTGCACAAACATTCCTCAATGTTTTACCACTGCAAAGGCTGATTTGCTTCATCCTCTTTCTCCTCCAGCATGGAGTCACCAAGAGTCCTCATACTGTGGGGTCCACAAGCAAAACCTGAGAAACAAACATCACCCCGCTGTTCCAGCAACTTCTGCCACATGGCTTCCAGTGACAAGGACGTGCCTGTGTACAAGTGAACCAGAAGAGATAACCCTGAAGCACAAAACCCCACCGAGACAGCTTTGGAGACAACAAGCGTTTCTGACCATTCCCAGCTTACTGCTTCAAATTCGTGTGAGAGTGACACAGCAGGAGCCTGAATTAGGCACATCTGAAACATTAATACCTGTGGGGAAATTCATGCAGGACAACATAGAACCCTGCAAGAAAGCACAGAATATTCATCCATGGAGGCCACCTAGAGAAAGGACCCGCAGGTAGTGTTCCTGCCCTCTATCCCAGTCCGTGTCCCCAGCTCAAATGCTCTTCAAGCTACAGAGGCTTCTGTTGGTCTGTGGAGGAGTTAAGTTTCTCCTGGGTTTGACACGTCACACGTCACAGGGGACTGAGCTGCTCACATGCCACATGTGAGCGTCATACATCACCGAGCGCAGCGCTGAGCCTGAAAGATCAAAGGCAGCTCATAAAGCGGAAAGGCTCCTTCCCCCTTCACTATCGCAACCGTGGAAATCAGTGGAGATTCCTCAGAAAATTAAACATAGAAATTCCATTTGAGCCAGCTCTTCCTCTTCTAGATATCTTCCCAAAAGAGTTAAAGACCTCATACCACAGTGATGTATGCACACCCGTTTACAGCAGTGTAACTTGTAATAGGTAAATCTTGGAAGCAGCCTCTATTTCCATCAAGAGATGAATGGATAAGGAAAATGTGGTATTTATGCAATGGAGAACCACTCTGCCATAAAGAAAGATATACTTAAGTAATTTGTAGGAAAATGGATGCACCTTGAGACCATAATGTTAAGTGAAATAAATCAGGCTCACAAGTTTAAATGTCACATGGCTTCTCTTCTATGAGAAACTTAATATATAAAGTGCAAAATAAATACAGACAATAGGAAAAAGAGAGGGAAAAAAAGTCACTGTAATTCAGCATGAAGCCGGGAATTTAGCTCAGTGGTTCTGCTGTCTGCCTTGCAAGCGCAAGGACCCAAGTTCGATCCCCAGTACCAGGAAAAAAAAAAAAAAAAGCTTCTGTAATTTAGCATGAACAATGTATCAAAAAGTGATTTAGTGTAATAGTCTTGTTTTATATGTTTTTTGGCTTGCTTGTCTAGCTGTTAACCTGTATGTATGGCAGTTAACTTTGTAAGGACATATAAGATAAATAAATGAATCGGATGCTGGCAAAAGGGCAGAGGTTTGAAGTGGAAGTAGAAGATGGAAAAAAAGATCCGAGACGTGTTCTGTACATTTACCAGTTCCCCACAATGCATGTATTGCAAGCATGTAATGATAAACAAAAACATATATAAATAAATATTGATCCAAGGGTTTTTTGGGTTTTTTTTGTACCAGGGATTGAACTCAGGTCCTTGTACTTGCGAAGCAGGCAGTGGAACCAACTAAGCTAAATCCCCAGCCTGATCCAGGGGTTTTTTAAAGGAAGCTCAGAGGCTGGCTCAGCACTAAACTCTGGGCTTAGCAGCTGGTAGAGTGGATCTCATCACTGAAACAAATGAGAAGAAATTCTGTTTCCCTTTTTTAAAGCCCAGGCAAGTTTGAAATTTTCCAGAAAAGAATTTCTGCCAAGAAATTAATGGGCGAAAACAGAAAGCCTGGAAACAAGTAGTTTAAATGCTATTCAGCAGCTTTTGTTGTTGTTGCTGTTACTGTTGAAAAGAAAAGAGAGAGAGAGAAGAAGGGAGGAAGGAAAGAAGGAAGGAAGGAGAGAACTTAAACTGAAGTCTAATCCAAACTTGCTTTAGGCTAATAAACCTACAAGACCACCAGTCCCCACCCAGAACTGTGTATCTTTCTGGGAAATCCTACCCACAACACCCTATTTCCAGTCTGTGGATTTGCCCTTTGACTGTCAACCCTATGCACTCTGTCTACCCACTCTGTAAAGTGCTAAAATTGAAAGGAAGGAGTATGTCTCAAAATAATTTTACGGGGACCATGAATAGACAGCTTTTATGCTAATTCTGTGTACTGATTTCAATGCACATTAGAGAAAACTGGAACTAACACATCAAATCCTAGAATACGATAGATGTATAAAGTCCTTGTTTAAAATATAACAGCTGGGCCGGGGATTTAGCTCAGTGGTTCCAGCACCTGCCTTGCAAGTGCAGAGACCCAAGTATGATCTCTGGTACAAAATAAATAAATAAATAAATAAAACATATATAT